TATTATCAACTGAACCAGTAGAAACTTGTAATGCATATAAATGATTTGTGTTTTCAGGCAAGACAGAAGTGGGGGCATTAGTTGATACTTGTGGTCGAGAGAAAAGATCAGTTGATTTCCATGACTGAAAGCAATTCAAAGCCATCCTGTAGCAATATATATCTATGCTGTTTGGTAACAGCTGAACTTGGCTTAGCTGTGATAGGCCAAAGGTACCACAAGCAGTCATTTTTGTCTAGAGTCATGAGAACTGTAAGGCACTTGACAGAGTAAAGACACCATTGCAAAGCAAATACAAAATTGGCTGAGTGGTAGAGTAATGGAGAATAGGGGAATAAAAACACATTAAGGAGAATGGATGTTATCCATGTTGGAGGAAAACTTGTAATGGAGTTCCTCAGGGATTGGTATTTGGATCCTTGTTTTTCCTGGCGCAAATTAATGATCTAGATCTTGGTATTTTTCTTTTCTTCTGCCAAAGTGCATACCCTCATATTTTCTCACATTTTATTCCAGCTGCCAACATTTTTCCCCACTTATTTAACCTTTTGCAGACTCTTTGTCATCCTCACCGTTTCCCACCTATTTTTGTCATCTGCAATCTTGTTTTCTATTGTAAACATATATTGTGACCCCAGCACTAGTCCCGGTGGCACTTTACTAGTTGCAGGTTCCCATCCTAAAAATGTCCCTCTTATCCCAATCCCTGTCTTCTGTTTGTTAACTAATCCTCTCTCCGTGCTAGTAGAATAGAATAAAAAAGCAAATTATTATCATAGCAATATAGCAATTCACAAAAAACTGTGCTCAAAAGTTTTATAAGTCGCCATACCACAGTGCTGAAATTAATGGCAGTCATAAATAAGGAGAAAAATAAAGTTCATAACCGTTCAGTTAATGGCTCAGTTCTGAGGTAAGGTCACCGGACCCGGAACGTTATCTCTGATTTTTTTTTCACAGATGCTGCCAGACCCACTGAGCTTTTCCAGCAACTTCTGTTTTTGTTCCTGATTTACAGCATCTGCAGTCCTTTCGGTTTTTACTATCCTCAGCACCATGGGCACTTAACTAGTCTAATGTGCGGTACCTTATCAAATGGTATGAAGCAGAGATGATCCCCACCCCCAGAGAAGCTTGCCTCACCTCGCCTCGTAATCTGTTAAAGGAAGTACGAAAGTGGTATAACCTGCCTCTCACACACCCCGCCCCCCCCCCAATCTGTTATAAAGGAGAGGTTAAATGAAACGAACTCCTGACAGTCACTCTATAACCAACAAGTAACAATTTTATTTTATCAATTCTTAGAGTGAACAAATTAACAGAACTACTAACAAACCAAAAAATTCCCTCTTAACTATTAACTTCGCAAATAAAAAAAATTCTAATGGTATGCTGTTCCAAGTCCCACTTATAAAACAAATTAATTAAAAAACGACTTAATATTCAGTTTCTTGAAATCACAGCCAGAATAAGTCTTCTGGAATGTTTTTTGCCTTCTCTGCTGTCCTCCAGTCAGGAATGCTTTCTTGTGTCAGGAATATTAACTAAGAGTGCTGTTTTACCTTTATTTAGATGGTGCTTACTTTGGGAGCTTAGATTCGAGCTGATGGTTGTTGAGAGCTGTTCTCTTAACAGATGGCAGTTTGCTCTCGCACCAATCTTCAAATGCCCTCTTTTTTTTATATACCCTTGATGACCTACTAATTTCTTAAAATAGGATTGGTCCGAGGTTGTCAAAACCATCAGACGTAGATTTAATTGGGTTTTGGTATTTAGGACCTAGTTTCATTTAATTGGCTAAATTCAAAAACCTGTTGTCTTGATAAAAATGCTGCTTTGCCTGCTAACAGTATAGCCTTTTGGTGCAAAGTTTCAATTTCAGTAACTGTCTGTGCATCTGCTGCCTGCAGATATTTTTTAATCTCTCCAAACCCAAAAAAAATCTTGTAAATGGACCATGCGCCCCCCCCCACATCATTTTACAAACAAATTCTAATGTCCTGTCTTCCAATCCACAAGTACTACGCCAACTTCGCAACGCAAGTGCCTTCTGGAAATCTAAATATATTCCACTGCTTCCCATTTATCTTTCCTGCTTGTTACCACTTCAAAGAACCTAGCAAACCTAGCACAAGTGAGGTGCCAGAACACTGAGGACAGCTAATGTGGTTCCACTTTTCAAGGAGGGTGGTAGAGATAAACCAGCAGATTATAGCCCAGTGAGCGCCGATTACTGGTAGGGAAACTACTGGAGAAAATTCTGAAGGGGAAAATAAATCCCCACTTGGAGAAGCAAGGTTTGGTCAGCGATTGTCAACATAGCTTTCAGATGGAGGTCTTGTCTATTGAATTTCTCAAAGAGATGATCAGGTGTGTTGATGAAAGTGGTGCAGTTAATGTCGTTTATATGGATTTTAGCAATGCCTTTTACAAGGTGCCACATGGAGACTAATAAAGAATGTAAAAGCACGTGGAATTCAAGTTAATTTGGCATGATAGATCTAAAATTAGCTTAATGGGACAAGACAGTAGGTAACGGTAAAAGGCTGTTTTTGTGACTGAAGGCTGGGATGAAAAGTTAGTTTGCTGATGACACGATGTTTGGCTGGGTGATTAATAGTGAGGAAGATATAAAAGGGTTCATCAGATGGGCAGATGAAATTTGACCCTGAAATGTGAGAGGTGATGCACTTCAGAAGAAGTAACAAGAGAAGGGAGTAGTCAAATGGCAGGACACTAGGAAGGTCAGAGAAACATAAGGATCTTGGGATGCTTGTCCACAAATCCCTGAAGACAGCGTGAAAGGTTAATAGGGTAGTTAAGAAGGTGTAAGGTATACTTATTTTGCTCAGTTGTGGCATAGATTATATAGGCAGGGCGGTTAAGTTGGAATTGTACAAGAAGTTGGTTAGACCACGTCTGGAGTAATGTGTGCCATCTCTGCAGTATTGGAAGATTGTGATTGCATTGGAAGGGGTACAGATGAAATTCACCAGGATATTGCCTATGGTCGAGCATTTTGTCTATGAAGAAGGCTATATAGGCTTGGATTGTTTTCTTCAGAGCAGAGAAGGCTGAGAGGGATCTGATTGAGGTGAGTAAGATCATGAGGGACATAGGATGGATAGAAAGCAGATTTTCCCCTTAATTGAAGGGTCAGTGACCACAGGACATAATTTCAAGGTGGAAGGCAAGAGGTTTAGAGGGGATTTGAGAAAACAAAATTCACCCAGAAGGTGGTGGAAGTTTGGAATGCACTGCCTGGGTGGGCATGAGAGGCGAGAAACATCACAAACTTTAGAAATTGCTTGGATGAGCATTTGAAATGTAATATTATTCAAGGGTATAGGCCAAGTGCTGGAAAGTGGGTCTAGTGTAAATAGGTTGGCGCAGATTCAATGAGGCAAAATGCTTCTTCTGTGCTGTATGACTATGAATATAGGAAGGATGTAAAGCCATTGGAGAAAATGCAAAAGAGGTTTACAAGAATGGTTCCGTTGCTGAGAAAGTTCAATAATGAGGATGGAGTGGGGAGGTTGGGGCTGCTGTCCTTCGAGAGACAAAGGCTTGGTGGGAATCTGATTGAAATTTTTAAAATCTTGAAAAGCTGGATAGAGTAGATCAGGAGAAATGTTCTCACTTTTAAAAGGATTAAGACCAAGAGAGTGTAGATTTAAAGTGATTTGCAAAAGTGACAGTTGTGGAGTGAGGAAAAAATATACAAGGAGTGGTTTGGGCTTGGCATATGCTCCTCCGAAATATGGAGGTAGATTCAACTAAGGCATCCAAGAAGACATTGGATGATCATTTGACTAGCGGCAATGTGCAAGGGTATGAGGAATGGTAAGTCAATGGGATTAGTGTGATGCTCACTTGGTGGGCCAGTGCAGGCACAATGGGCCAGATGGCCTTTTTTGGATCGTAACGCTTAAGTAATTCTGCACACCAGGAGAAAATGTAGTAGTATCTAGTTGATCCCTTTTAATTATTTTGGGACTGTCTTAATCAGTGGTTTTAAGATTTTGAGTTTGTTCATGCAATGTGGGTGTCACTTTATTGCCCACTCGTAAATTTGCAGTGCAGTCTTTTGTTTCCTAATGGACAAATGGAAACTGGAGTCTTCCTGCTGTCTTTGGTTCAGTTACAGCAGCTCATGAATGCTCGCTTTTGGCTTCTTCTGAAAGTGGATATTGTATGACATTGGAAAAATTTGAAAGTTAAAAAAGCTGGCATGATTCTCATTATTTTTGCATAAATATTGAAGCATTTTCAGGCAAGGTGGATCTAAAATTCTCAATATGAACTGCCATTCTGCTTCTACTGTTACAGAATAGGCATTTTGCTGTCAATTCCACCATTGAGATTTCATGAAGTGTGAATTGATTCCTTTTGGTGGAAACAATCATCAAAGGCAATACAACATTGGGGATGCAATTCAGAGAGGGTGCAGAGAGATATGAGGTTGGCGTGTTGAGTATGTGTACAAAACAGTTAAGATGAGAGGACAGACTGAGAAAATAGTGATGAGGATTCTCTGCATTATAAATAGAGCCAGAGAATACAAAAGGCTGGATGTTGTGGTGAACCTTTATAAAATGATGATTCAGCCTCAAATGGAGTGTTATGTTCACATGTTTTGGAAGGCTCTGAAGGCATTGGAGCAAGTGCAGAAAAGATTTGACATGTATGGTTGAAGAACTTCAGTAATGTGTATGAATTAGACAGAGCAGGGATCCTCTGTTTGCAGAAGAGAAGGATAAGAGACATTTTGCTAGTAGTATTGAAAATTACGTGAGTCTGATTGGAGAAGGGGAGTAACAGTTCTTTGTGGCGCAGTGCAACTCTTGCTGGTGCATTCCCTTACTCGATCAAATCACAGCTCATCAAAGTCTAACAGCTGAGTGCTTTATTTACTTTTTTTAATATTTTAAACCAAGACAATGATGATGTCTAACTTACAGTGTAATGGAAATTTGTTCTTTTAATTCTTCGACTTGCAGCTATTCCAGAGTGGGTGGTTAAGCCAAAAGACAGCCAGTTAGAAGAGGGGAAACCAGGATTTTTGCACTGTAGCACCCAGGCCACCCCAACTCCTACAGTCACCTGGTTCCGGAACAATGTGGATATTTCTGGTGTAAGTATATGGAGAAATTTGCGGTTTATAGTTCGCTCAGATTGCCACCACCTTCAATAATGTAAATGTCTAACCTCCCCACTTTTGAAAAAAATTTTTGTTCAGATATGACTTTTGCCAGCCACTCTTTCTGCCTTACACATGTGTGAATCCTGACTGTGGACAGGTCATGGAAGCAGAAGGAATATCTCAACTGAATGTGTTTTTTTTTGTGTTCACCCATGTTCTTTGTTTATATAAAGAGGATTGCTGAACTTGGAGTTCGGTGTTCCAGTTGATTTTATCCTCTTTTCTTAGACAAGAACACAGACCAGTTGTAACATGGCAATTAAAGTCTTAGCTGACAGCTCACAGCATAGAATGGAGTCTTGGATGTTTTTCATGGTCAATGGCAAAAAATTAATAATAATGCAGTACTGCAGTTCTTCAAGCCATAATTTATAGCAAGCCCTACACCTGCAACACTATGTGATATATTTCATCAGAGCCATCTGCTATAAATGCCTTTAACAACCTGATTCACAAACAATAAAGTGATAACCAGATCATTGTTGGTGAAATATTGACTGGCACGCAGAGAGAAGTCATCTTGTGTTCTTCAGAGATTATCATGGGGACTTGTACATTCAAGGCACCATTTAAGATCTCATCCGAAAGATAACACTTCTGACAATGCTGCATTTCCTCAAAGCTACAATGGTTTTGAAGCATTGATTGTTTTCAAGTCATTGGCCTTGAACCCATGACCTTTTGCTTTGGACAATCTAAATTTCTATCTCCACTGCTGTTTCAGGAATGAGGTCCAGGTACCAACGACTGTTTGGGTGATAACAATTTCTTTGGACGTTAGTTTCTGACTCAGCATGCTGCCACTGAGCCACAGCTGACACTTAAAGCAAATGACTTGCTTTTTTCCAAAGTAGCTCAATGAAATGTAAACTTGATATGGGTTGTTGCTGAAGAGTACACAGCTGAGCCATCAACTTTTGGGATTGGAGAGTTCAACAATAGAATACTTAATAATATGAATACCTAATAACTGCTAAATATCTAAAGCTACCTAGAATACTCCTCCTCCCACCCACCTTCCTGCAAAAATGC